TTAAAATATATTTCTTAATTGCCCAAAAGGCGGTTAACAAAGTGAAGAAATTTCATTTTAATTCGGGCAAGGATTCGCTGGTTGAGTGTCGCACTTCAAAAATGCTTTGAACAAGGGAAATATTATTATTTTCTTGAGGTGAACGTACTTTATATTAATTATGTTAACCTTTGAAGTAACGTCGTTCTGAAAATATTTTGTTAGTCTAATTTACTTTTAAAATGAGTTGTTCAGAATTGTAGACTTTCATTGTGTAATCACGTTGTTAACTGTGTGTGTTGTCAATTAAAAAAAATATATGTATTACAGTATTTTTAATAATAACAGAATGATCCCAAACTAGAATGCTAATTAACAAAAATTAATTACACAATACAATACAAAACTCTTTATTGTTCACATTGCACAATGAATTACAAAATTTATAGTAAATTAACACTATTATGAAACAATTGGCGGCCTTATCGCTTAAAGCGATTTCTTCCAGGCAACTAGTGGATAGAGAGAGATAACATGAATAATGAAGATGGGGGTGTAAATGTTAACAATATATCATTGAGGCACACTAATTACTTATTTAAAGTAACAAAAAAAAAAAAAAAAAAAAACTAAATATTATATTATAATTATTATTAAATATAATTATTATATTATAAAACAGTTAAGATACTTTGTCATTGGCAGTACAAATAAAACGTTGTGCACAGCGCTGTCGGAGCAGTAAAGCTTTAAAGCTTAACATTTTAAAGTGAGTTTTAATTGATTGAATATCTAATATTTTTTCTTATGCCTTGACTAAATTTTTTCATTTCTGTATAAATTGAACGACAATGTAATATTTATAATGTTAAAGATAAATTGAATTTATATTGAATGGCGTCGATCTGATAATGGAGCCTGATGTCGGTATCTCAAAAACTAAACAACCGACTACAAAGCGAACCGAGACCTTGTCCGAAATAATATCTAGAGTCTGATTATGGATTTGTAGATGGCCAAGAGAACTTTGTAATTAGGTAACAAAACGCCATCTAGCTTGAGCCCGTTCTTATTGTGTACATGAAATCTCTGGTCCCAGATAATATCAAACAAGAGATTGTAATTAAAGATAAAATGTAATTAAACATAAATAAATGTGTTTTTAGAATTAATTGTCTCATGTTGCATTATTTTCTAAAATTAGTCTTTACTTACCATATAGTGATAAAAATGTAAAATGACTTCATTAGACTTCTCGGTGTAAAATAAAACGGCGAAAACAGCAGCCCTTACTGAGTTTCTTTGTCCCGCCGTAGTTTTGAGTACCGTTAGCGTAGCTTTCAACTTTCAGAAGTGCTATGTATAAGCCTAGACTGACTAAACGAATTTAATTTGTTTTGTAATAGATTTATAAAAGTAACCATTGTGACTAGTTCGACTTTAACGTTATTCAGCAAAGCGATTTAATTATATTTTATTAAAGGACAAATCGGTGATAACACTTGGTCCTTATTTGGTTTACAATATTATTATAAAAGTAATTAGCACGCGATAACGCCCATGAAACTTCTAAAGTACCGAATTTGCTACGATAGGAAAGTATGGATATTCATCTTCGAAATTTTTTTGTTATTTGCACTTTATTCTAACCTTGAATACCACATGCAACGAAACCGTCACGTGTCACAATAAACAACACAATATATATTCATATTGTGTGTATATATATTGTGTTGTTTATTGTACACACGGCTGCACGTCGGGTTACCGCAGTATGTCAAATATCCTCAATTGATAAATGAAACAACTTTGAAATGGTTTCATCGCGTTTGTATTTAGTTTTATTGACGTTTCGGACCCTTCACAGGTAATCTGTAAAGAGTCCGAATTTAGTTCACATTTGATAGTGTGCGTGAAAATATAAGAAATCAATAATCCTCAATTGATTTTGAACTCTACTAGAAATGCATTAAGGTTTAAAAAGAAAGTAAAATAATTGACAGTTTTGTATAACGATGTTTTTGACATATATCATCATCTATGTGTGTATAAGTGTACTATTGATAACAATACTTATTAGTTTCTCCCTACCAAAAAAATTTTTTTTGTTGTACCTTCATTATCACCAGCCCTGTAACGTCCCCACTGCAGGGGCTCAGGCCTTTCTTATGGATGATTAAGGATGATAGGCCACAATCTTCCACGCTTGTCCAATGCGGATTGTATATCCCGGCTGCATTTTCAGTCCAAATGCAGCCAGGATATCAATAGCTTAACGTCCCTTCCGAAGCTCGAGATAATATTTTTTTTGTACCGGTATGGTATCTTCATAATAATATTTTGTGTTAATTGTTTGGTTTGCTTGGTAGATAATTTTACTTATTATTTTAATTTAACATGTTATGAAACTCTGTTATTGTCCAGATTGATTTGTATTAGCTACTAGCTGACCCGACAGACTTCGTCCTGTCAAAAAGATTTGTAATGTGGCAGTTTTTTTGCCTACGTATTTAAAAAAATTCTCCTGAACAGAACCGTCACCCTGGTGATAGGGTGTTGTGAATAAAAAATAATTAAATAAAACATATATAAGGATTTAAAAGTAAGTAATCGCTTCATTGTTAATCATGTGAATCATAATTATTATTGCAATGTATTAATAGTAATAGTATTAAATATAGAAAAAAGAGATTTTTATGATCATAAAAACACATTACACACAACAGCATTATAAAAGTAAACTATTCGAATTAAAAAAATATATAAACATTCTCAAGGAAAAATGCTGGAAGAATCCATCTACCTGTACCCCGGAATGGGACTCGAACCCATTCGCGATCCAGGGACTGCTCTAACCAATGAGCTATCTAGGACCCAACAGCTTTGCTACTACAGAGCGTATTTTCATCAATGTTCCGGCAATACATGTAATGACGTGGAAACTGATGCATTTTATCTCGCGTGCCGAAACTAATACAAAAGAAACGCGAGTTTCGGAACGCGACATTAAACTCCTCCAACTATGTATTCTGTGCTCCAACGCACACACGCACATTGTTTTGATAGATATGATCTTTGACGTTAGGAACACACTTAGACAACAACATTGCTTAGACAACAGTGAGTGCTTGTAATTTAATATGAACTTTATACCATAACAATAAAGCTCAAATTGACTACGTTTTAGTTACAAATCATTTGTATGGGAAAAAGAAAAGGGCTATTTTTAGGGTTTTTCCAGCAATAATTCTATTTTTCTCGCCGTAAAAACCATCCTTGAACTTCAACGAACATTTTAAAAAAAGATTTGGCCAAATTGGTCGAGGCGTTGTTGAGTTATGCGCTTACCAACACATTTTGCGATTCATTTTTATATATATATATAGATAGACAAAAGGTTTGAAGAAAAAGAAAAATGTTGAGTTTTATAATAAATTTAAAAAAATATGTTTTTGATGTGCCCGTTATTTTACCCAGACTCTATCCTAAAATATTCCAAGTACACTTGACCTTAGTAGTATCAATTGTATTTTTTTTAAATTGGTTTAATATCCTACCATCAAGTGTAGAATCACTTAAGATGGTTTATTTTTTACGTTTTTTCTACGAAACGAACTTAGTATCAAACATATAATATACAAAAATATGCTGTTTTTCCGCGACTTCGCTCGTGTAAATTTTACTCGCATATGACTTAGCTTCTTGTAGGTGTAAAATTTTTTAAAATCGGCCCATAGTTACGGAGCCTTCAAAACAAACAATCAATCAAATATTTCCCCCTAATTATATTGTTTAAATAGAAAGTATGTTTGTTTGTCCCAGTTTCTCATCGCAATGGAGTTATGACTTTTTGTATGAAAATAGATGGGTAACTTAACAGCGACCAACTATTAACCGCAAAATTATATAATTTCGAAAGGATAATTGTTGCGATTAGATTGCCTTGTTTGTTGTAAAATAACCCATTACATGAGAAGCTTTCTTATTTTAGTAAGGTATAACACATTATCAGTGGTCGGAATTAGGTAGAGTTATTCATGTACTTACGCTGATTTCATACAGCGAAAGAATAAAGTGGATATGCCTCAAATCCCGAGATTAATTTTAAGGAGCAGAAAATATCCCGTAATTTTTTAAATAAAAAGTTATTTACTTTTACACAATTTAAACTACTGCACGCACGACGTTGCCAAACTTACATTAATGACATCGGATGTCCAAAGATGTCCTAGATTGTCCATTAGAAATCCCGGGAAGGTCCACATTAATATCAACATTTCGATGCAAGTAAATAAATAACTCTACCTAATTCCGACCTCTGCACATTATACATTATACATTTTAGTAAATATTATATTACGTACAGTAGTCCGTTATAACTTTTACTAAAATATAATGTTATTTGTTAAATAACAATATTGTCGGTAACTCTGGAAGTAAAATTTGCGATAATGATTTTCTTTATAAGGTTTCTAGGGGTCAATATTAGGCTGTTGTGTTGTCGTCGACGTTTGTTTCTAACAAACCACTTGCGGTTGTGTATTTCTGTATACGACTGAATATAAACAACAGATTTGTATACAAAGTATTTTAGTTTTGATGTTGGATTAATTAAAACACTGTTTCCTGGGTTAAGAAGGTCTTTTTTTTAATTAAGGAAAAACAAACTACTGTAACTCAAAATTTTCATAGGTGCCCGACTATGGAAATGATTTCTAAGATCTTATTTTGATTATGCCAAAGTAAATCATGATCACCATTCTAAAATTAAAATATAGAAGTCAAGCTTCATCATCTGTGATTGTAGCTTTTCCCGTCTTTGGTTTATATCTATTGTAGCGATGTTGACCAAAGAACTGTTATCTGTCGACACCTTTATTCTATGTATATCAACGGTTGCTTTAACTGGTCCGGTGATTCGACGCCCATCACTAATTCGGTTGACTTAGCCCGCTTGCCGAACGCGTTGAAAATGCGTCTTTCCTTTTTTGATATAAATTTAATAGAGCCTTTTTCAACAGATACGTGAACTCCGGCACGAGAATCTGACCGCTTTCGTTGGCGTATGCGTGGAAAGCGGCGCCGCTTGCATCGTATCCGCTTACTGCTCCAGGGGATCGTTGGCCAGGGTATTGGCTGACAGGGATCTGCACCTGGACGACATGTTTGTGGCAAGTCTGGTCGCAGATCTGCTCAGGGGACTGACTTATTTACACGACTCGCCGCTAGTTGCACACGGGAATTTGACATCTAGCAATTGTCTGGTCGATAGTAGATGGGTGTTGCAGATCTGCGATTATGGATTGCACAACCTAAAAAGTAAGTCTATTATTCTTTTAAGAATGATCTAAGTACCTCTCAATGACCTCTGTAGCAGGTGCCCGAGTCAGATAGGATTAATTGTATAATTTTGAAATATACCGCCATAATTTTTTAAGGTATAGCGATTGTGACTGCGATTTACGAAAAAATATTTTTATGGTGATTTGACTATAGACCTCTATAAGCTATTTTAATTTTCAAGTTTTATATTTTTTTAGTTATAAGTATATAGTTATAACCCTGTATAGGACTGTTTTATTCACACATCTTACTAATATTTTAAGGACGACAGTTCGTTTGTTTGGATATTTGCTACTTCTTCACGCAAAAAGACTGAACGGATTTTGATGAAATTTGGTATACAGGCAATTTTTAATCTAGATATATAATTTTATACCATTAAAAGGTTCCCTAGGGAGATATGTATTTGAGGGCGCCTATGTGAATGCTGTCTAAACGACAGCTTTCTTAAGAAAAGTCGGAGAGCTTTCAATTATCTATAAAAAGTCCGCGAACTTTTATGGTATATATTTATGTGTTAAGATTTTGCCACACAAATAAAAAATAAACTTCGTATAAGTGTATTTGATTATTTTATCACCTTTAAATTTCTATTTGAGTAGGTAATATTAAATCTTTATCGGAATAAATATACTTATCGTCAACTAAATTAAATACACATAAAAATTTACATTTACACCAAATAAATTGGATGAATAATTTGTATTTCAGTACGATATTATTGAGAAAAGAAAAATAAAATATATTGCCGATTTTCTAAATATCATTTTGCGTATCTATTACAATTTAACAGTATTTTTCTAATGTATTTGGTAACATTTAAATTTATTAAGACTGTAGTAATTATATAATTGTTTAACTAATAAAAATAATTTAAGTTTAGTAACAAGTAACACATATTCAAGGTGAGATTGGCAGTCTAGATACCAAAGATTATTCGGAGTAGTGTTGGGGTTGTGCAGTGTTGGAGAAGGACGAAACTACAGTCCATTGAATTAGTACTGAGACTCATAAACACAAGATTGATTGTTAGATCGCATATTATATCGAGTTGAACCCAATGCAATTGAAGGTTGAGTACATTTTGATTAAATTCAATATCAATCAAATCGAAGCCAATGTCGTTACGCGATAGGCCTGCTGAAAACTATAGAAAACAGACAAGGAAGAATATATGGACCCTTCATACGACAAAACGATACTATCGTGAATCATATGGAAACTAACGGAAGTTAATATAAACGCGCTAAGCAAAATGTCAATTCACACTTGCTCAGAAACTCTTACAGCAGTATATTATATAGCAACAAAATAATAGAAATAAACATGAGCTGTGTCCATAGGCTGTGGTATTCCATGGAAACAATAATGTCAAAAAGAACCTGCTAAGTGCGAGTCGAATTTGCGATAGGATTCCTGGTTGGGTTTCTCACCGAAAAGGAGAAAACAAAACATATTGCTTGTATGACAATCCTTTAAATAATTATTATATTATATTTTTTAGTGTTTGTTATTATATTATAGCGCCAACAGAAATACACCATCTGTAAAAAAATATTCTTTTTTTCTTTAGTTGCTTGGTTTTCAACTTAGGGAACACTACAGGTTTCAGGCAAAAGCTAGTGTAATAATAATGTAAAATGTACCATCAAATCATCATGCGAAAAATGCAGACGAAGCCGCTGACGGACAGCTAGTCTTGAAAAGTTCAAATCAAATCAAATCAAAATTATTTATTCAGAATTTCATTGTGAGCATTCTAATACATAAACATAAGAAAAGACAATAACCTCTTGTAGAAATTCTTTTGTATACTTCTCAATACGACAAGATCATAACGTCGCTTGAATATAAAAAATATTATTATTTTATTGCTTTTATTGATGATAATAATAAATTTATTGTATTCTTTTTAGCCTATGTATTTTTAGATGTTTTATCATGTTAGTCTACACATTTTTATATCTATTTAACAAACAAATGGCGGCCAAAAATTTACAACAAGTAACAAGGCAAATATAATTTACGTACGAAATTGAACCTTCAATTTTCAGTAGTTAGATTGTAAATGCTCCTTTCAAAAACAGATTATGAATCAAATTATAAAAGTATACAGAAATGATAATGGATAAAATCACTATCTATACATATATAAAAGGAGATGTCCTGACTTACTGACTGACAGACAACGCACAGCCTAAACCGCTAGTCGTAGAAACTTGAAATTCTGAGGGAAGATTCCCCTTAATACGTAGAGGTGTATTAAGAACGGATTTCTGGAAATTCCATCCAGAAAGAGGTCAAAAAGGGTGAAAAAGTTTGTATGAAACTTCTTTGTTTATGGACCTATGTCAATGAAAATTGGTATTTGGGTAGTTTATGACCCCAGGAAGGTAATAGGTTATATTTTATCCTGAAACTTAAAGGAATAAAAATGGGAGTAATATATTTTATGGGGAATCAAAATGTTACCATAGCAACCATTGTTTACAATCTGGTTTGTCATTATAATAAAATTACCTAATACTATTTACAAAATATTTTATTGTATAGCTATGTAAACTGGTATTTGAGTTATTATTACATTTTTTAAATTTTAATAGATAAAAATTTTCAAATTCATGTATTTTTGTTTACGAAATAAAAATTAATTGTACAATTTATATATATATGAACTACAATTCTAAATCGCAGATTTTTTTGCCTAGAAAACTTACCTAGAATATCTTTTCAGCCAGCTGATGGCGATCATATATTCTAAATCGTACTATTATTTTGATAAAGAACTTTGTGCAGGCTTTAAATCAAAAACATAAAAATGTTGCTCCAAGTTTAGATTAAAGAAATTTGTGTTATTCTTTTCATCAGTAATTAATTTATTGAGGATTGATAGGTACCTAAGATTTTCAAGTTGATAATTTTTACAAATCCTATTTTATTACATTTGTTCATTCATATTATGTAAGCACCTAAAGTTTACAAGTATAAATATCGTGGTCAGGTCGTAGAATTTACCAATTCATGATGCGGCCAGCTGTTTCATGAAATAAAAAAATCTTGCTGCCTACATCATGTTGTGGCATCTTGTTGAACGATTTGCGTTTAACGATATGTGCGGCTGATAGAATGACTTGTTCATAATGTGGCCAAGAGTAAGTGATCATATCGTAAAATAGTTACGTAAGTCTCAGTAAGAGGCGCTGATGTCGCATTGTTTTTGTGATACATGTATTTTAATTTTTAGGTTATACAACAAATGAAAGAAAGTAGGGTGACTAAGCAACGGAAAACGGTTACTTGATTAAGTTCAGTGAGATAAATGTAGGATTGCGAGGGTGCAGCAGCAAAGGCTTTTCTATAGTTTTATGGATATGTTGCAGGTTATGATAAAGACAGGATTGTGTCCTAGCTCCAGAGGCTGATAAAAATATATTGGAGGATATAAAAGCTTTTGAGATATGAACTAACCATAAGTTCTTATCTGATTAACGACTGCAAATTCTTCCAGGCTTTATGTGCCTTCCGAAGCACGGAGTAGCTGAAGATACTCATTTTGGTCACCCATTCCGTGACTGACCTATGCGAAAGTTGCTTAACTACAACGACCGCTGGCCGCGTCGCTTATCCACTACACTACTAAGTTACTCGGAAAATGAAATATTTTTTATTGGAATCTAATTGTGGATTAGTTTATTTTTAAAATCACGTTAACGTTTTATTGTATAACTCCAGAGACAATTTTTCCATTTATGAATTTCTAGAAGAAAGTGCTGCCGACATAAATTTTATTTTGCCGTACAATTAAGAGCACATCAGGCTATACAAAACTGTCAAATTTCTCCGTTTCATTTTAAATCTTAAAGTATTGATAGTAGAGTAGTGAGTTTTAAAATAAAATGTGGTAAGAAATTTAAGCTTTGCTAGAATAGATGGCGTTTATGCTAAAGTAATCTGCGCTAATGTTTCTATCGAAGAATTTTGCGTAGATAACGTTTTCGATTGAGTTTTGTGTAAACTTCAGACCTGTTTTTTCATCTGTATTTCAAATTGGATTGGATTAATATCTCTAAAGTTTTCAAAGATAAAGTGGTGAAACGTATTGGATATTTGTTGTAGTATCTTCGAACCTAAACATGAAGGTAATGACATCATCTACAGCGTTTTTGGAAAATATATGCTGCCCAAAGTAACTATACCACGCGGACGAAGTCGCGGGCAAAAGCTAGTATATAAAACAAAGTCGTTTTCTCTGTCCCTATATCCGTATGTATGCTTAAATCTTTAAAACTACGCAACGGATTTCGATGCGGTTTCTTTTCATAGATAGGGTGATTCGAGAAGGTTTTTATGTATAATACAAGACCTCGCGGACGATGCCGCTAGCGGAAAGCTAGTTGATAATAAATGAAATCAAAATACTGTTCACCATCTCGTGATTAAAAGTTCAGAGAAAAGTTCAGTGGGAACATTAATAAGCATCCTTATGGTTGGATGGAATCCAATCAAAATGCATAAGAAGAATGGGCCATGACCCTACACGTGGACCAGTGTGGATTGACGACTACAGATGTAGCTGAAGCTTGAAGCTCGAGGTAAAAATTTTTTGGTACAACAGGCCAAACAACAACTAGTAGCAAAAATTGCTTAACTTTAGCATCGCAAACCGAACGTGCTTACCACTGTACCATCGAATTTTTCGATGATGATGAAAGTATACTATTGTTATATTTTAAAAATTTAAGTTTATATTTCAAACAAATTTTAAACATCTATATGCCACTATAAAGAAGAAAACATGAATTCATTCATTAATTTTAAACATCTTCATGCCTCTATAAATATTTATGCAAATAAATTAATCTGAATCTAATAAATCCTCTTAATTTATATTGAATCAAAAGGTTGAGAACGAAATGTCAAATGTTAACAAGTATATAGAAATTTTGCTCACATATTTTTATTTTCACGAGGTCGAATTCAGCTAATCTCGATAGCTGAACGTTTTTCACGAAGAATCTTGTATCGCACGAATTACATAATCGAATTTGTAGACTTCAAAGAAACTGGCATCTGGGGGCCTATCAAAGATCCTCAAGTCAACTGAATACGTAAGATATTCGTGCAGAGAAGGTCAAAGATAGGTCAAAATAAAAAGTTCTATATACAAATTGATATAACCGATTTCTCTCTACCAATATAATGACCTTAGTGAAGGTGTCGAGTCAAGTACTTATCAACCTTTACATAAATAAGAAATTCAAATACTGCAGTACTATTCTGGTAAAAAGACAGCCTTGTCTTTAGCATAGAGGCTTAATCAAAATAATATACTGCGCGTCGTTTAAAAGACTAAAGAGTCATTGTTTTTTAAAGTGGCTGTCATGAATAACAACAAAATAATAATACTTTTATTTCTTTACTTGATACATAGAAGTATTAACAATTTTTATTATACCAGGATACACGACATAACTCCTAAGATGGCGGTAGACCATAGACCACAATCATCTTAACTCTATGTAGTTAAGGTTTTTGTCAAATATCTGACGTTAGTATAGACTGTGGAATGCGTTTCATCATTCTCTTTCTTGGCATAGATAAACAATAATATTAACCAGAAAGGCGATAATAGTTTTCAGTTAAAGTAGTGTCAAATGAAAACTCATTATTATATGTTTAACCGGTACTTTAATTTGTATTTTTATCGTCAAAGTAAGTTGGTGCAACTAACCCTAAGTGTATCAAATTGCCAATTGTTGGGTAGTATAACAATATTGTATGCGGGTAATCACATAGTTTTAATAAACCAGTCAGTCGCCAGCTTCCGTGTTTCACAGACGTTACCCCAATTTTATATAAAAAAAACATAATACCTTAAACTGAGAATTGAGTTCAATCAGCCTGAATCCTAAAAAAATATCTGGACTGAATTTCATTTCCCTCACTTTAGCCTTTTAACGTCCCCACTGCAGGGACTCAGACCTTATGTATGGTGAAGAAGAATGAGCCATGACCCTCCACACTGGCTTAATACGGATACCTTCCAGTATTAAAGACTGAAAATGCAGCCGGGTCCAACGGCTCAACTTGCCTTTCAAAGCACGTAGTAGTTCGAAATAATATTTTTTTTGATCACCCATTCCGTAAATGAGGTCTGCGACGCTCATCCACTACGCCACAGAGCCACTCAATTAGTAATCACTCAATAAATTACCTTCAGAAGTTCGCAGTCTCATAAAAAACCAACAGTCAAGACCTCTGGTAACAAATAGGATCTGTTCAACAAATATAATTCAACGTGTTATGGATTTTCGACGCGCCGTTCGTTTCGCACTCCAATCGCCGCGGGCTATATGTTATTGTTTTTCCGTGTATACATGACATATAAATAATATGTATATATATTTATATGTCATGTATATTCCAGCCTCGGAAGCAATCATATGTGAAACAATATTAAACGTAATATTGCTATATAAACTCCTTTGTTCATCTTTATAAAAAAAAGCTCGCAATAGAGTAATAGTCATGGTTTCTGTTACAATGTGTGCCAACCGAATGCAGTTTTTTTATTAGTATGCATTTTTTCATATGTAAAAAAATAATTATCTCATTCATGCAGCAATGTAGTGTTTCAAAAAATATACATATAGTTTCTCTTCTCATAGATATCGGATATTAGGATTTACGTTTGAGACGTTGACGATAAGAACAAAATATGAGAATATTTGTAAAACTATATAATGTTATGCAATCTATAGATAATATTAAACAAACAAAAGAAATTGAAGTAATAGATAAAGTGCAAGTTTAGGAGGAAGGGGTCCGACTTGAGGAAATGTTCCTTTAACACTTTAATGAAAGTGTCCCGTGACGCGCACGCATCTAATATCTATAGGCAGAGAGTTCTATAATTTAATTTAAAATTTAATAAATAACAGATATTAATTTTATTTGTTAAATACACAAAACTTGTGCAGTCTTTTAAAGGTAATACGAAAAACCAAGTTGCTTGAATTAGAACCTGCGTTTCTGTGACAGCAGCTATCCATCCATCCTTGTCATAGATTTAGGGATACTTAACAATCACTCACAATATCATAATATAGGTACCTAATTTTAAATCGATTATCCTTAGAGAGATTTCGTTTTATATAAGATTCTTTTACCGTAATGTAATGTACCAAGTACTAATTCAAAGCGGTCGGGTAATAAATGATTTTCAATTCGAATCAATAAACACAATAATGTTCTACAGGTGGTTGTGCAGACGCTGAAGATGCTTTACGGATGGAAAAACGCATGTTGTGGAGGGCACCGGAGTTCCTCAGAGACCCCAACCCACCACCCAGGGGATCGCAGAAAGGGGATGTCTACTCCTTCGGTATCATCCTATATGAAATATTAGGCAGAAATGGCCCATGGGGCGACACGAACTTGACAAACGCAGGTATGTTATATTAAAAAATATATAAAAATTATAAACATGACAGTCTAAATCGAATTAAAATAAAAAAAAAACAAGCTGCAATACGGATTGACTAAACACAAGTATCATTGCAGTCGGAGAACGTCTTAGGTTACCAAATTTTCCACAGACCGGTCCTTCTAAACCGATCCGGACCAAACAGCAATTAGAATTCGATACCCATATTGTTATAATTAAAAAGATTCTATATTTCATATATTTTTAGTAGTCATCAACCATATTTAATATTTACTCGGAATAATGAATAAGAAGTTATTTTAAGTCTCATAAGTTATGGCGAAATAAAAAAAATCACATACATACGTTAAGCCTTAACTGCTTTTTGTGCAATCGTGTAAAAAATAACCTTTGCAGTTTTACTATCTAGTTGCTAGATGTAATTAAAACAAAAAAACATTTCTTTTTTTTGGAATAGGTTTTTTGTACAGATTTAAAAATTCTTTCAGCAAGTTCAAAGTCTTTCAATAACGAAAGTAGGTTATATTTTGCTGTTTCTTTGAAAAATAAAAACCTTATCAGGAAAATGTTGAATGCAATAGTAAATAATATAATTTTCATAAATGTATTCAAAACAGTGGTATAATCAGATAAATGTCAAATTACCAAGGTTCTTGTAAACACACTTAATCATTTGTACATCTGTAAAAGAAAACTAATTAAAGCGATATAATTGGTATATTAAACACAAATTGTTCAAGAGAATAAATTAACATTCATTAGGTTAATTCGAAATGTTCAGTTAATAAGCCAATTAAATTGCTTTGAGATTATATTTGAAGAATGATCTCAGAAGACAGAATAAATATAGCTTCTAACATTTGGAGCAGCAATATCAGAGCATATTTTTCCCCATAATAAAGTTTCATTAAATGAAGATATTGACGATATATATATATATATATATGTTAGAATTGATAATCTTATTATATTTATTATCGTTTTGATTTTAATTTAAATAGTAGAGATTAAACTTTAGGTAAGTAACGGTGTGTCATACCACATCGTTTATTTCGTCCTAGGTTCCCGCATTCAAACTTTTTGTCTATGACCTTTAACATAATATCTTTTTTTATTCTTCACTGTTCGTAATTTGAAATTTTGAGTAACGCGTTATACTCTTTCTGAATGTTAATTCGTGAAAATTCATCTAGTGAAAACATGGCGTCTTTCGTGATATTCCCAGACGTATCGTCACTACCATATGTCGTCTTCGCTTTGGACATGTAACTACACCTGTTTTTCTTGCAAAGATTCGAATTTTAAATAGTTCTGTTTGTGAATGTGGAATTGAAGAAGGTACCACTGATCACATTTTTTTTAACTGTCAAAAGTATCAGTCTTTATATGATCAACTCCCACCTAAAACTCCCCGTCCAGTTAATCTTAACTCTCTTCTTATTATTTCTGACAAACCTGGCTTTCTACGTCTTTGCAAATTTATTAAAAAACATGATATCAAATTATAAAAATAAGCGTTACAAATTTCTCTTTTATGTATATTGTAGTTATAGTGTTATTTGCTTTTGTGTTGTCCTTTTATGTATTTAAATTATTGTAGTTATAATGATATCTGCTATTGTGTTGTTTTTTTTTTAGTACAGAAAGAATAATCTCAAGGAAGAATTAATTAATTACCGTACATATTTAATTATAACTACCGTTCAGTCTCTTAAATCACGTGTCTCTCTCACTACGGGATGTTGGCAAAATTTCCGTGTATAACGGAACAAGTCCACATTGAAAAAAAAAAAAAACTTGGCGTCAATTTGTGATATTAAAAAGTATTAGAATTTATCAAAATACATTTATTTCTGTTAGTTCTGTTATTTTCACGTATCATAAATCAGTAAAGTAAATTGTAAAGAATTATTAAATTTCTATTTGTTCTACATCCCGAGGAAAGGATATGTAACTGTTTTACCTAACTTTACTTATTATAATCATGTTCGTGAAAAAAGCTTTCATTATGAACCTCAGTTACAACAGTACATAGATGACTTTTTCAAATCCAAACTGGCAAAGTTTTACAGAGACGCAATCCAATCTTTGCCTTAACGCTGGCGTACAGTGGTAGATAACGACGTTGATTACATAGTGAATGATTAGCTATTTCATAAATAAATAAAAATTTTAGTTACGCGTGTCGGTCATTATTTATAAGCCAATCCGATATATCATAAATAACAAGGTGATTGTAGATAACTTTTTTTATTTTTTATCTTCGATATTGCAGGTTAAAAAAGTGAACATGGTTCACCGTAATAAACATAATACTTATTAAATTTCGTGGGATAAATACGTTCGCCTTTATAATATTACTAGCTGTTTTCACGTGACTTTACCCGCGTACATTAAGGCGTTTGTCTCGTGTACGATGTACCTTCCCGTAGCTGAAAGAAATTTTCAGTTTAGTAGTTTTTCCTTTTTATAATATAGTAGCTTGTTATTCAAACTAAGCAAAGTTTGAATTAACTTTCTGAGTGAGTGTAATACTCACATAAACCTAATTCATTTTATTTCCTTTGCGCAAACATCTTTGGGTCACGGACTTACATTATATATCTTTTAACTCATTCTGCGTATTACTATCGAGTGCTAACTATGACAGTCAAACGGATGGAAGACAATCGGATGATAGTAAGTGCAATTAAATCTTTTCGAGGTACAGAATAGCAAAATGATGTTATAGGTGAAAAAAAAATTTCATCTCGATATAATTCTGAATGTATCTATTTATTGATTTTAATAGAACTAACTGTAGGGTTGCAATATGTGATACGCAAAAATACTATATTTTAAACACCAAAATCGAATAAACAACATTTTCGCTTATGAAAATGCGCTTTCGCTTACGAGGGCGCCTACTAAATAAAAAAAAATATACAAAGCTTCTTTTCATAAACTTATTGGAATAAAAATTTCATTTCATATTCTAACGCATTTTTATAGTAGTTATTGTTCGGTTCCCATGGAATTTGCTCGATATGTACGAGTACTATAGATTTTTGAATAGAACTATCTATACTAATAATGAACCTGATAAGTTAGTTTGTTTGAACTCTAAAATTTCAGGAACTACTGGAACAAATTGAATTATTGTATTAGTGTAGAATAGTTCACTTATCGAGGAGGGCTATAGGCTATATAACATCACACTATAACTTATATGAGTCGAGCAGCAATGCAAAATGTTACAAAAACGGGAGGATATTTTACTTTTTTAATGCTTTCCATGCATGCGCTGCGGAAACGGTGAAAGTTACTCAAAAATCATGTATCACGATTTTGATTCTCCTTTAAAATTCTAAAAACAATTCCGCGGTAGATTATATCCTAGATTATAGCCTATCTTATAATCTAATGCTGAAAAAAAGCACATAAAGGGATGAAAGTGGGAGCGGAAGTTCATATAGTAAGGCATTAAATCGTTATCATAGTAACTATTGCTTACAATTCAATTTATCATTTTAATTATATTCCGTGTCGTCCATTTCCAAATCCATTATTGAATTGAATTCCAAGCTTCAGACTTCAGAAAACCAGAGGGTCATTTCTGGGTAAATGCATTGCTATGTTCAATAAAGTTCCACAAAATATAATTGACCTACCGATAAATAAGTTTAAACTTCATGTAAAGAACATACTTATGAGTAAAGACTATTATAAAGTTGATTATTATTTTAAGGACCGCAATACATGGAATTAATAGCCTTCGCTTTGTTCTATAACGACTAATTATATGTACAAACTATGACCTACAGACTTTTAAAGTTGTATTTATTATTATGATAATACATATTGTTTTGGTATTGACATGATTTTGTAAATGGCATTACTTATGATAAAGAGCTGGTAAGTTTCTTTCGCTTGTTCTTCTTGTCAGCTAAAAGACGTCCTGAACAAGTGGTAGGGGAAAAAAAAATTTGGACGATTCAAAAGTGCTTGTAAGAAGTTTACTTGAATAAAGATATTTTCATTACATTTCATTTCGATTATTTAAGCTGTTTACGCAGGATTAAATAATATTTGAATAATTTTAATCGGTACAATAGCTAATAGTTCATACAATTATTAAATAAATTCAATATTTCGCTGAAGTAATGTTGGCTGAATATAACTATCTTTAAAGCTGTTTTACATATTCATAAACGGTTTATTTTACTCTGGACTCTTTAAGAAAACATTCTTGGGACATCTAAATGCATTAGATATTATGTTCTGATTGTTATGGAATACAAGTTATGAATATTACTAGTGATGCGTGGGCCTGATTGTGAAACTTTATACTATCAAAGTTCGCTCATTATTATCTATAAAATCGGGGCTAGTTTATACTAAGAATATTGCGTTGAACTGACAAATGTCCAAAACCAATGGAGGAGATATCAGTATAATATGACCGTCCATTGTGAAAGTTGCTTAACAACCGTATAACAGCCCGAGCGCACTAAGCACTAGGCTATCGAGCTCCTCGCATACACGAAAACTTAGTATAATGTAATTTCTATTACTAGAGCTACTCGGCTCTGACAAATTAGTCTATTAACCAAAAAGCTCACAAAAAAAATGTCAGGAAAACCAAAATATATATAAGTAATTTGCAAAAACGTTAAATAAAAATAACGCTAATATCGTAGTAGCAATATATTTAAGAATAATTTATATAACAGGAAGCTCAAAAGAGATACTTGACCGCCTACATAGATAATCTTATTGTAATATCTTTCTGATAGCTTTCACGGTAATCGAGCTCTGTTTCATATATAATAAAATGTATACTTCGTAATGGTTTATTTTTAAGTGTCTCGGTAAATCAATTGTAAGCCTGGGGCGTTCTTCTAAGCGCTACACAAACATGGAAGTTTATTACCAATGAGTATTTATCGTTCTGTTGCACAAACTTTTATTAAGGTTTAATGACGCCTTTAATCTCTAATCGCTCATTTACACAAACGTCCATTAAGGATTAATGACGCCTATAACCCCTAATGAATGTCATATTTGTTTAGGTAATGTCGTTTTAAACTAATGAAAAATTTAATTTACGTTTGTGCAACTGGCTGAATGACTGTTAAATTTGTATGGGTAATGTCACTTTAAACTAAAGTCAATTTTAATGGACGTTTTTGCAACGCGCTGTATGTGTTTTACTTTGAGCTACAGAGTTTAGTGATATAAATATGTCAGAAACAATGACTTTTTATTATTAGTCAGGTCATACCCGTCCATTATTGCGTTTCAAAACAGCGTAAATTTCATTGTGGTAGCGTTACATTATAAAACAACCACAAAAGGCGCGAAGAAATCAAAAATAGTTATCTCCTTATCAGAATCTTCAGAATACCTCTTGTTAGAACGAGATGAACATACCTGCACAGCTTTACGTGTCAACTGCTGCATCGTGTTATGATACGAAGCACGAAAATGACACGAAGCACGAAAAATTGCCGCATTCAATAACTTTTTATTATTTTTCTTAAAATAAAAAAGAGTAAGTACATTACTTGCGCATGACATGATATCTTTTTAGCTTTCTCATTGTCAATGTAATTTGTGCGTTGTTTAAACGTGCAGGAAGGCATTTTTTCTACATCTTTTCACAGAAAATTACGAGTGAAAATGACATTTACCATTACGCTTGTTGTAACGTGACTATAGAGAAACTCAGGCAATGAGGAAGTATTAAAAAAAAAGAAAGCATTAAAAGATGGTGAACTTAGCAAAATTTGTTTTTTGCAGGAAACGAATGGACCAAAGATAGTCATTTCCGGTGCTTTCAACTAACATATTAAAAAACTGAAATTTACAAAGTTCGAAACTTAGATATCAATACAAATACGAAAAAGTACAAATAAAATATGCGTTGTTTATTGAGTTTTGAAAATTAATTTACTTTTATACATGAAAGAAAACCGGAAGGGTTGTCATGGAGAAATCAAAAAAGTACCGTAGCGACATCTAGTTTGATTTCGGGATTGACTTGCTCTTTTGTTGTTAACGTTGTGTGCAGATGACCCATCTAAACTTTTTAATACATCATTGATCACACTACTTCGATAGTGATCTCGGGTTCGTGTCGTAGCCTGTATCAATTGTTCTACTAATACAAATCGCGATTTTCGTATGTAAGCTCTAAGATATTACTTTTTGGAATAATTCAATATAATAATATTTTATACATCACTCAGATCCTATTATAAGCAGCTAAAACCCTTGTATTATTGAAACGAAACAATAAAGGTACCAAAACAACCGAGACAATAAAGAAAAGATAATTTTCTACATTTCCACGTATTGAACCCGGGACTTAAGAGATAGCGACAGCCTTGAAACTGGCCTTCGTTCGTTTGAACCGTTCGACTATGAAGGTTGTTTGATTGTATTATCATAGATCTTCTCGATATAAAATAAAAAAATGCGTTTATCGTTTGAAGTGTACAATCCTTAAAAAGTAGTTTGAATATACCGCTTTTAAAAGATTGCAGGTAATGTGACAAAAGCATAAAAGACTTCACTCTGACAACGTTGTCTGTATACTATTGTTTGTTTTTTATTGTAATCTTAGTGTATTTGCTGGTAAAATGTTGCGTAATAATTTAAATCAATCTTAATAAGAGAAATAAAGTGAATTTAAGAATTATTCTAATGAAAACATGAACTTCTGCATCCACTGCTGGGGTTCAAGCTTTTCCTATGAATGGAATCAGTTCATATCGAAAATATGGAGAAATGGGACATGACTCACCACACCGACTCAGTGAATGGTGCGTGTTAACCACCACAGAGCCGGAGCTAACATCTTAACGCGCCTTTCGAAGCAAGGAGTTCGGGTTACGACCTACAACCTTTTTTTTTGACGCTGAGAAATGCGTTAGGGGGCGTCCATAAATTACGTGAGATGTTTAAGGGGGGGAGGGGGTCGACGCAAATCTCATCTAATCTTACGTTGGAGAGAGGGGGGGTCTCGGCAAATATCACGCAATTTTTTTTCTGATTGAAACAAAAAAAAAAATTATTTTGGTCCATTTAATCTAGATTGTACATGCTTAAGATTTATTCTTAAGCGTAATCGTATACGATTAAGATCATTCACTAATTCGTTCGAAAGAAAATAATTTCATTCATATTTCGACGCTATACATCGACTGAATGTCAAACCATCATATTTGTAGGGCTCGAACGATACTTTCGATACCGAGTAGGTATCGATACTTTCAAAAGCGATACTACAACAAGGCAAATACTCGCAAGTACTCATCAAATTGCATTTTGAAAAATCTCACGTGAGATTGGGGGATGGGGGAGGGGGTTGAATAAAATCTCACGATATCTCACCAGAGGGGGAGGGAGGGACAGAAAATTTAAAAAAACACCTCACGTAATTTATGGACGCCCCCTTATGCATACCCGTTTCACCCAACGCGGGCTCCACGGGTTATGTTGGACTCCTCCTGTGGCCTCACCCCCGAAGGGACTAGATAAGAAACAGGACTACCACTAAAACTCAGCGATGTCCCTCGCATGGAAGGCGATGCACGGTATCGGTCCGGAGGCCATATACCGACCTACGACCGTCCCTAGCGAAAGTTGCTTAACAATCATATCACAGACCGAGCGCGCTCACCACTGCACCATCCAGCTCCTCCATATAACATCTAGATTATACTATTCATAATATATAATCAATTAGGTACAAGAACATCACTTACAGATAAATTAAAAAAAAATGGGATATTAACAGCGGCCTCCCAATTCATATACAATTGTATACTTTATGTTACAATATTAACAATTACATTAAACATAACCATGTACACAATTTTAATACTAGAAACAAAGATAAACTTGTTTTGCCGTCATGCAGGTTAAAGAAGGTTCTATCATCATATATGGGTCAAAGTATATACTACTATAACAAAATTCCTATGGAAATTTTAAATTTACCATTACCTAAGTTTAAAACCCATATTAAGAATTGTCTACTCAGTAAAGGATATTATACTGTTAATGAATATTTAAGCGACAAAACTTCTTGGTATTAAATATGGCTAATTTTTCATGTATATTAAATTGTTTATCGGTGAGCTTCTTTGACTACACATTTTATTGGATTGACGAAAATACCGTTTTACTCTTATATTTTCTAATATTGTAATTGAAAGTGGTTCTTCATATTTTAATTTTTATGAAATAATTTTTCAATCTCGACGCAACCCTAGCCGAGTTTCTTGCTGGTTCTTCTCGGTACAAGGTCTCCCGCCGTAGATTTACGAACTGATGGCGTAGCTCTCGACTTTCGCATGTTCTTGTAACAGCCTAGACTGAATAAATAAATTTGATTTCATATACAATATATATTTTTTTTTACAGAAATTATCGGAAGAGTTCGTCAACCGATCGGTGGGATACTGTTTCGGCCACCTCTGAGCGGTTTGCAAGCAAGGCCATCTGTGTTGGCGGTCCTCAACGCGTGCTGGAGTGAGAGACCAGACAGGAGGCCCGACTTGCGGCTGGTCAGACTCAGACTTAAAGATATGCACGCTGGCATGTAAGTACAATGCATATATATCACAAATTAAAAAAGTATTGTAAAATGTAGGGTTAGTGTAACAAACACTTTGAAGGTGATGTGAGTATGAAAGACTATAGGGAACAATGATGTGGTCTTTATTGAAAAGTTAGTTTTTTAGGGTTCCGTAGTAAACAAAGAACCTTTATATATAACCCTTCTATAGTATCGTAAAATTAAATCATTATTGTATATTCCTGTGTTTGTGTTATCAATAAATGTATTTTCTTTCTTTCTTATGATTTTACCATGTCCCCAAGGCCGTTTTTCAATTTACTTTTCCAATTAAACGGCTGTTGGTAAAAATTTAAACGTTACGGCGGTAGTACTTGTATACAACGAAGTGAAAAGTATAACTGTCACTCTTAGTTGGCTTTACAAGTTTACGAGCAATAGTCGACCAATTGTATTTGAAACTCGAAAACGAACAACTACATTGAAAACTACAAATGTGTTTTTTTTTTACTTTTTTAATGGATGCACTAGGTGCGCGCATTATTTAACTAACTAGCTAAGGAAACAATATCATGCTTGTTTTTTGTTAAATCCGTATACGCATTTTTTATGTTATAAATATTCCCATAACTTGTCAACAGGAAGACGAATATATTTGACAATATGCTGTCGATGATGGAAAAATACGCATCGAATTTAGAGGAGCTTGTAGCTGCGAGGACTGAGCAATTAGTGCAAGAGAAAAGGAGAACCGACGATCTGCTTAACAGGATGTTACCAAGGTAACTGACATATTTCCACCGCAACAATTCAACATCAAACACAATCGGTTCATATTCATACTCGTACATATTTTTATACTGAAGTTATAAAATAAACAATTTAACAAGAAAGTAATCGAAGACTAATTGATTTTTAAGAAAACTGTAAGCTTTTCTCTAGTTTATTAGAAAAAAAAAATATTAAAGGCTATAAATTTTCGTACAATCATGTTGTTTATGTTATTTTGTTTTTTAAATAAGACGGCATATTTATTTTGTGATAATTATAATAATATATAAAACAATCTTTTTGTATCGTTTTTTATTTATTTTACACGTCCATTTTGTTTCTTCTTAAATCAATTATTTTTCTATGTTTGGTTAGTTTAGGCTAGAAACTGCAACTAGAAACTTTCGAAGTTTTTTTACCAGTGCCTGATTACGTTCACTGCCAGGAAATTATCAAATAAAGTATAAATAATATGGGGAAAAATTGCAACAGTAATGTAACGGTGTGCCGTACCACCGTTTATTTTGTCCTAGGTTTCCACATACAAACTTTTTGTCTTAGATCTTCAATGTTATTTCTTTTTATTATTCACCTTTCGAAATTTGAAATTTTGACTAATCCAATATGCTTTTTATGATTGTTAGTTCGTAAAAATTATTTTATCCACCCATACATAACATAAGATTTTATTTAAAAATATTTATATGATCCGTTAAAATTTAAAATGTGTTAAGTGAATAACTTATAAAGTGTAAATGTGTTAAATAAATTATATATTTAAAAGGAAACCCAAAAAAGGGGTATGTATTTGTTCTATTTAACTGTTTTAATTATATTAGTTTGGTAATCATTCGAATTTTTTCATTTTTTCTTTGTTACAGTTTTCTTTTTCTTTTCTTACCGTATATAAAATCAAGTTCTCAAGTTTAGTCAGCCTTTCATTCGCCCAAGCATCGAACCCGCCAAAGTAACAACTTCAACATGACACACTAGATTAAATAAGCATTGTTTTATTATAAGCCATGATAATCGCGGACTACAAATTAGTACGTGCAGGTTCTTATTTATCCAATAGATAAACGCATAGTACAGCAATCCAGCTAAAACAAACCCATGTACGTTCTAAAATAATTCTGTTTATGTTCACAAAACGTATATCTTATCGTTAGCAAAGTGTAAGATAAATACACAAGAACATTTCCTTAATGCGTCACGTTTTACCCAAAGCATATGAAAGCGAAATTATCTAAACGAAATCGGATTATCCTTCATCAGGGAGAGAATTGCATTAAACATCGGTAGCATTATTGTTTGAAAGCTTTAGTTTTAAGTGCCGTATGGCTTTACTTGGCAAGTAGCATCGCGTGGGTATCGCTGGCTTTAATTTATTATATAACTAGCTTTCCGCCAGCGGCTTCTCCCCGTCTTGTATTATACATAAAAACCTTCCTTTGAAACATCCTATCTATTGGTGACAACTTTTGTGTAATATCAAATAAATTATATTATTATTGAAATTGTTTTCATATCAGAACTGTGGCAGATGCTCTGAAGAGAGGCGAGCGTGTTCAGGCCGAGAGTTACGACTGTGTCTCCATATACTTCAGCGACATCGTCGGCTTCACGCGAATGGCTGCCACTAATACTCCTATGCAGGTTAGTCTAAAGTATTATCTGAAACTCAGATACAATGGCGGATTAACCCTAAACCCACTATACAGCCTTTAGCCCAATTCACGCAACTATTAACAATCTAAATAACGCTGAAGTATATAAACCGCACGATCGGAGTTCTATCAAAATGTGTTATCCAGGTGATGCTCGGAGGCTCTACAATAGAACTTCAACTCGATACGATCAAAACTCAACGACTCATCAATTTGTATGCTAGCGTGCTGTTTAAACATATATTACATGATAATTAAATTTAACTAAAGAATATTAAATTTAAAATATAAAAACCAGCCTTAAAATTAGCGGACTCGCGCACCGAGGGCGCCACACAAACCGGTATGATAAATATTGGCTTTTTATATTTTCACGCGTACTCTTTCAAGATCTTAGGTTGACTGGAAGTCTGGATGTACCGTCTAGGTTTTGATTCCCTTGCGAGTAGTTGCTAGTTTGAAAATATGTATACGCCTTAAATTGCTGTTTCTTACAGCTCAAAAGTAATATAAACCTAAGTATTTCAATTTAATACCTCTATGCGTTCATGAGAAAAAGGGTAATAACTTACAAATTATTGAAAATGTTTTTATTATACGGTTTCCGGTTGAGATAAGAATATCAATAAAACGGATTTTATGAGAGACAAAGTATTGTCATGGAATAACGACTCACGGGCGGACTAGGCAAGTCAATTCTATATCAATACGAAATAAAGACGTAAGATAATATATTGGGACCTAAAAGGTGGCAGCTAATTACTACAGTGCCTAGGCGGCCTAGCTCGCAAATCCGCATCCAATCAGATACAGCTATAAGTGTATAGATCGCCCAACGCCCTCGATGGAAGCGCACAAAGACCAACCTCTCAGCACGTGGCGGTTGGTTTTATGAATAGATACGGAAAAAAATCAACAACAAAACATCAGGGTCAGAATCAGGACGATCTGAATATGGACGCGACGAATGAATTGCTATTGAAATGAAATGCTTAATCCAACGGAAACGGAATTATTTAAGAATATGTTACAAATTGACGATACAAGATATATATTATTTTTAACATCATTTGTATCTGCTAGCTATGTTAGGGATTTATTTGTCCTAATGAGTCAACCCCGGCTTATCTATGGCCCTTGAGAAAACACAGTAGAGCTTTTAGTGAGTACGCTTCCGGGGATAGGAGTTAATTCCCACATAATCTCATCGCCAACTACAATAGCTGAGTTTTTTCGGCAAAAAAAGTTTAGGAATATATTACAAAATGTGTCTATTACGTCATTAAATGTCCAACAATGATAACACGAACTGGAAACCTAAATGAATTTGATAACTATGGTGGATATATAATACTTTGTCAATTCAGTATATCGTTTTAATATTTTAAACAATGGGAGTACAGCACATTTAAACGACACATTTAGATAATACTTTTTTATTTACTTATCTCTAGCCGCTAACAAACTTTCTACTTACTTACTATAACATGAAATAAAATACACAAAATAAAGAAACGACGAAGCATTCTATGATATTTCGATTATGAAAATACAAGCGAAGATTAAAAATTTCTTAATTTGCAGTAATATGAACAAAAGAAATTCAATTAAATAATAATGTTTTTCAGTGATTAATTTCAGACTCGGATTCTATTGAAATGTTTGCGGTAGGAATATAAAGGAGGAACTTTACAAGGAAATCCTTTGACAAGTTTTAGCGAAGTGAGAAGACTTCGAATTTTATATTGAACATAAATATACCTTATTACCCCTAAAAGCCAAATTTCCGAAACCAATATTATGAGAAGGCGTAAACTCAAAAGATTGTGCCGGCAATGAGATACATTGAATAAATGCTTTATTTGTCTTATTTACACTACAATAAAACACAAGACAATATGCCACTTGACTCATAACAAATTTCGTAGAACACATGAATATTTCCTATAGTATTTAGCTTGAAAAAACCATATCATTTTTAGTCATTATCGGGACTAGATTCACTTAAATATTCAATTAAAGTATTTTAGTTTTCTTTTTGTATATTTGAAACATCGAAAACAAATTGTAAACAAATAAAATTTCATCTGTTCTCGTGATTTAGCGCCATTTAGCGCTGAGTGATTACGTCAAATTTTGTTTACAATGTGTAAATTATTATAGACAATCTGTAGACCAACATGGCGGACAGCGTTTTCGATTGTCAAACGGCCGGTTTCTAAATTGAGAAAGTACAAAATCTCAACTGATTATTCTTAATAAATTAAGTTTTTTTAAATTTCATTTAAATGTTATTTAAAGTGACTTATGCACGGTTTAAGACGTGCTCAACTTCAAATTCTCAATTTGGAAACCGGGTTCCAACTTTTCCGATTTTTAAATTATCGTAAAAAGAATATTTTTAATGCCTATAGTAAAACAAATATTACTAACTGTTTAAGACGTACTTTAAAAACGATTCAAATATCCTACTGTAAGAGTTTGTTTGATAAACATAGAGCCAAAAGATGGCGAATTGTACGACAAAAGTATGAGTACGACAAGTTCATGTATATAATATATTTATTTACTTGAATTCCCTACAAAAAAGTTAACAATTCAACAATAAATAGAAAAAAATATGAAATTTAAGTAGTAACTCTGAAGCTTAATATTTTAAGTAAATTTTATGAATTCACATTTTGGCTGTGACAGAAATCATAAAAACCAATAAACTAACTACTAAAATTGTCTCTTTTTTTAAGACACTCCATCTTCATTCATTATTCATTCATCATTGATCTTTTCCAAACAAAAACCAAACACCTGCTTGCATACACGTCGCACCTATGTTAATTTTTGCTGAATAAAATAAATAGAAAAGCTACTAAAAAATCTTACCGAATTCAACCTTTGAAAAAGTGAAAAATAATACTAATTATCACACCGGAAGCACCAGCTTTTAAATTAAAAAAAAAAGAATCAATAGGATCGGTTCACTCTGTAAAAAGTTTTGAGGTAACAAACACCACGCATGCTTGCGACGGATTCGGTGCTTGGGTCAATTAATAAGACCGACTAGCTTGAGTATGGATTTATTAATTGTATAAAGGATAAAATAAAGAAACTGTAACAAACAAAAAATGAATATAAAAACAGTTCTTATCTTACCTAAATATAAAATTAAAAATTACCAAATAAACGAATTCATACCCCATTTTAGGTTTCTTGTCAAATGGATCGTCCAAGTTACAGATTACAATTCACTATGTTATATAATTTCTATCACAATGTCTCATTCTTAATCAACAATTATTTTTAAATTTTATATTAAAATTTAATACGATAATATGTTGATGTACATGTTATTCACAGATGATTTTGTTAAGAACTGACATCCATAAAGAGTATATTTGGTTAGTCAAAATTTTAAATTATGAAAGATAATTATTAAAAAGATATGATGTTGAATGTTAAAAGACAAAAAGCTTACATGCTGAAACCTAGGGAAATAAACGATGGTACGGCACACCGTTACATGCTTAATGCAAATTTAAGACTAAGATGGTTTTCTCATAGATGCCATTGCCAGATCTGGACCAAATTGAAATGGGATCTTGATGGATTACGGTCGCCTTTGTGACCGATTATTTTAATCTATTCACTCAATTTGATCAACTCTAAAACTGTTTTTTTTTTCTCTCAATTGTAACTTAAATCTAAGTGTAAATAAATTATTATAATTACATTCGTATGTTATAATATGTAGGTATTGATTGACGACGTCGATGTTCGTGTGATATTACGAATGATGTCATATATAAAAGTTAGTTTTGTATATCTACGGGACCAGAGCGCTATGCGGACCAATATTTGTGTCTCGCTCGCTGCACAGATTAAGCATTGCTATAAGAGCTTATGATTAGGTTAGACCACGATTCCAGGTCCTCAGATACACCTTAAAACATCCTATCCCTTGCGGGGTAGGCAGAGAGGACAGGGCGTCACAAGACACGGTCTTGATCAAAGTAACGTATTTCAATACTTCTTAATTTATATGAAAGACTTTCTCGCTCTTTGGCTTCCTTATTATCTTATAATTATAAAATATGTTGTACGGCCCGTAATTGTGACGTAAAAGTATAAGAAACATACTTTCCCATGTGTAATTTATATATTTTAGTTCTGTAACAATAACATTTTACACGACCATATAAAAAAATCACAAAAGAAATGTATCCCAGAACATCGCAAGCAAAAAATAGATAATGACATAAAAACAAAACTAATAATATGAATGAATATAACTCCTAAATACAGCTTTTAATAGTGAAAACCTAATATTATAGCTGATTCAAGCATGATTAATCAATGAACACGCAATTCGATTATTCTATAGAAGCTTTCATAATCCGCAAATGTAACATTACAACATTCCCGTTTTAGTAGAAGTTAAGATTTATTCGTAGTCACGTACTCGTAGCCGTCTTACTACGGTCCGTAGCACATTCCGCGGTAACTACGTAGTTAGTAGATTGAGATTGTGACGGAAATTATAGTTAGCGTCATTTGTCACCTTAGGGAGAGTGACGAGATTGTTGAGGGGGCGGCTAAGCCGAAACACTTGAGTCTAATTGGTCGTAAACAAAACAAGTAATTACCAAATTTATATTAAACAAAGATGCATAATGCTGTTAGTAACGCTGTTTATAACACAAGAATTGATCTACAGATTTCCAATTTTAAATGATTTTCAGAAGTTTTTCTAGAATACCTAATTAGGTAATAAAAATTATATTTTAGGTAATTGTTTCGGATTTCTATAATACAAGTGCCAGAAGATACCTAATTTAAAACCTGAGCAAGGTACGTTATATTTCTTATACTCGTTTTATTAATGTATGACAGATTAACCAAATTTTTTTTTTTTAAATTAGAACCGTCTACAAATGTAACAGTTTCTATAATAATGAAGTCGCTTACGATACGAATTATAACAATTTTTTTTAT